GATTAGTGTAATTTCATGAGTCTTTCCTACTGTGGTAAAACACCAAATATCAAAGAAAATATTTTTCATTAAATTTTGATCTTATACAATTTTATTTGAAAGAAAGTTGGTTGTTTTTTTTTTTTATTTATTTCCTGGACATACAAACTCTGCAGAAGTATTTATATAAATGTGTTTCCACTTGACACATTTGTGGAACTGACCTTTTCTTTCCCCCTTTCATTACCATCTTCCAAAACCCATCCATGAATGTTGCTCTAAGATGAGTATAGAAGATGAGTTCTCATCCCTTTCTACCTGCAGCTTCAGCTGAATAGGTTTGCTTTCCTAAGCTAGACATTTGCTTGAAATTCAGAGAAGTAATAATACCCCCTTTCTACCTGCAGCTTCAGCTGAGTAGGTTTGCTTTCTCAAGTATTTGCTTGAAATTCAGAGAAGTAATAATACAAATATTTGAGATGTGCTTTGAGTTAATACAAAAGTGAACACAAGTCCTTGGGTTTTTTCCCCATGATATATCAAACAGGTGGGTTTGTATACTTGTACCAAGCACGAGTAATCTCCAATATTTATATAGTTATGAAAATGAGAAATCCAGAATAACACATTTTTAACAATATTCATGTCAAATCTCATTTACTGTAGGAATCTTTCACCCAAGTTAGAATTACAAAAAGCCCACGTTGAGACAAATTTAAAATCTAATAATTATTTTTACTATGCCCACGTGATACTTTTGGTTTTTTTTGCTTACCCTTGCCAGAGAAGCTCATCATTAGCAAGATCCTGCCAGACGCACGAGGCCAGACAGAGATCAGTTGCATTCAGGTATGACAAAATGGTAAAACTAAGCTCTGGTGGCAGCATTTCCAGGTTAATGAATCCTTCTTGTTCTTTAGATTTTCTTGCCTTCAACAGGTGGTAGATGTCGATGCCTCCTTGGGCTTGTTTGCGATGGCTTGTGCTGGGAAGGTTGTTAGCAGCCATCCTCCTCCCATGGTCTCTGGTAAGGTAGCCTTGGCCACCGTAACCTTGGTGTTGCAGTTGCTGGTTCCTAGCAACTCTCCAGAGTCCCTGACCCATCTGCGAGCCTGCTGGACATAAAATCCAAATTAAACCTTTATAAATACTTGTAAGACACACTGGAAAAAGAAACTTGTAGGACTGATCTGAATAGGGGAAAAAAAAAAAGTGAGTTTTAACAAAGTTATGCTCATGATGTAATCTGTCTCCAATAGAGCAACTGAATAAATACTGAAAACAAAACCCATAAGAAACCTAGATTTTTTCCAAAAATTTATACACAAAATGAACAATAGGCTTCTGTAAACAGTACCAAACATATCTACGTCCTATGCAAGTTAAGAAGCCTTAAACATCAGAACATTTGGAATTATTCTTTTCAGACTTCCTTTAAAACTTAGTACAAATAGCTTATTTGGAATCAATTAATTGCTATAATACGTAAGGAGAAACAACAATGTCCTGAGTAGCGAGTAGCACACAAAATTAGGCTGTGCCTGACATTAAGACAAAGCTTAACGACTTCCATGTTAATGCATTAAGGATTCAGTTTCTTGTTTCTGAGCACCCAAAATATCTTTTCAAGCAGCATAAAAGATTCATGACAAATCTTCTCTATCTTACTTATCACCGCATTCATTATTTCTCGTCAAACTTTGTTGGAGATGGTAATAAAAAGAACATATCCTGAATGTCAGTCAGGACCATGTTTCTTCACAAGATGAAGAGCTGCGGCTTTATTTTTCATTGCCTAGCTAGATTAAAATAAGAGGTAGCAACTTCTATTAGAGAGACATTCCCAGAGCTGCAGTTGCTCAGTGCCACCTTTTTTTTTTAGCACCAAGGTGAAAACCAGTTGCGAGGGGAGGCTGTAACAGCCAGGGGCTGGGAGGAGGAGAGGAGACCGTCCTAAGGGATGAAAAGAGCAGATAAGGAGTATTTCTGACAAATACAACATTTCAAAAAGGGTTACTATCACTGCGCTGGAGGATTCAATTAAGATAAAGTTCCCATTTTGCTAGGCGCTGTACATGAGCTTGTTAATTACTTAAGTACAGTACTTAGTAAATAGATAACTCTAAATATCTTGAGAGGCTTCAGGCAATTCTTGACCTTAGCCCCGTGAGTAAACTGAACACTGACAACAAGGCATTACACTTTCAAATATGCAGATGCCAAATTTAGAGGCTGTGCTCACCCTCAGAAGATGAGATGATCTGAATAACTGAATATTAACGAGCATTCCATTCAATTATGTCAAAAATGTAGGGGTTTGAAAGATGTAAATGTATACGTACAGATGTAACTCAAAAGTAATCTGCATGCTTTCTCCGTGTAGCTCTTCATGTAAATACAAAAATAAAATCTGCCTGGAAATATAGCCCTGACTCTAAACAAAATGATAAAATAGCCAAAGGGCAAAATACTAGTTTCAGGAACAGAAAGAACCGGGAGTAAAACCAGCCTGTAATTCCCCATCATTAGTTCAAGTCCTTAACCACTAAAGCAATAGAAATCAGCAAGAAAAAAAAAAAATGAGAACGTTGCAATATTAAACCCGACGTTTTACAAAAGATGAAATGAGGGAACCTATTCCATGTAAACTCAAGTAGAGAGAAAGGGAAGTTTTGTTAAATGCAGAAATCTCTTTTTTGTGGTAACTTTTGGTAAGGCAAATTAAGTTTTAATTAATTAATTAATTTTGCTAGCATTTTTGCCATCTTTTCTCACATTAGTTTTTATTATTAGAACAAAGCCACGTTTCTATACACATTTGTTAACTCCCAACTATTAAAAGTCTTCTGAAAATACTAATTAAACAAACAAACAAAAAATACACCAGAAAGACAAAAGAGAAAGACCAGCAGCGTTATCAGAACCAGTTCATAGAAAGGCTGTGCCCAGTGAATTATCAAGTGAACTTTATGCTATCAGATAAGCATCTGGCAACTTTATAACAGCTTTCAAACCTCTTTCAAAGTCAGGTTATCTTTCTGTTCCATATGCACTACTTGTAAAGAATTCGGAGAGGAAACACAGAGGACCAAGTTTTCCTACTCAAGGTTACTTAGCCCTAAATCAAACACCCAAATTTCAGTTGCTAGTTTAATATCTTTATTGTACTATTCAGCTAGAAGTTCCTGTTCACAAAATATATTCCATTAAGGAGCGCTGAGCTAACAAGAATATCAACAGTTTTCATTGGCGCTTACAGCGTTTTTCACCCCACACAAAAGCTAATTACGATCTAACACCAACAACATAATCACGTCTAAATTATTTAACACTAGAAAGAGGCTCCAAGACAGAAAACAATTACTATGTTATTCAAGAAACTAGCCTGCTGATAACGTATTCACATACTTACACAGAAGATGGCACTGCCGAAATAATTTCAAAAGTCTTTTTAAAGATAAAAAATAATAAAAATTTACATAGTTTCTATTTTCAGTACTAACTGAAGAAATTTCAGAGAAGAAACAAAGCGAGACAAAATTTAAACCATTCTAGAACCAGCTGCCGGAAACCCACAAGCTTTAATTTGCGTGTAGCTATTCAGCAGCTTATAAGCCATTTGTGAAATCACATCTTGTTTTCCCCATTGCTTTGCAGCAATCCAGGATGAATGCTTTGAGAACTCGCTCATAAAAACAGATGAGTAAACTCATTGTTATTATAAAGCCCTTTAAGTAATAGTGTCCAGACTATGTTTTTGAACTATTCTGAGCAAACATTTTCAATTTCCAGATTCAACAGGCCACTTAAACGTATGTTTCCAAACTTATAATTTTGTTACTTTAGCTTATACTTGAAACATCTTGATAGTCTGGCAGTGATAACTATCACTGCAAAAATAACATCAAGCTTTGTTTATAAATCGCTGATTTTCCATCTCTGTCAGATACCTGAGTCTGATTTCAATTTTAAGCATGTCTTCTTCAGGTTACCTTGTTACTGCATCATAAATTCTTGGAAGAGCACGACAGGATACTAAAAGCTAAATAATAAGCTAGGTTTGACACTGAAAGAGGGGAGACTGAGGTAAGATGTGGGCAAGAACTTGTTTGGTGTGAGGGTGGTGAGAGCCTGGCCCAGGTTGCCCAGAGAAGCTGTGGCTGCCCCATCCCTGGAGGGGTTCAAGGGCAGGTTGGAGGGGGCTTGGAGCAACCTGGGCTGGTGGGAGGTGTCCCTGCCCAGGGCAGGAGTGGCACTGAGGGGGCTGTAAGGTCCCTTCCAGCCAAATAATTCTGTGATTAATGCTGTACCGGCCTCTGTTTTATTAAATACAACACAACACACGCTCTCGATTGCGACCACAATTATCCGAAGAGGCAAATGTCCCTTTTTATGACGTTATCACGACGGAACCTCCATTCATGGCAGCTGCCCCGGTGCCCGAGGCCTGCCCGCTCCCCCTCACGCCAGGGCCCCTCAGACCCGACCCCAGGCGACCGTTCCAGCACCACAGCCCGGCCTCCCCCGCCCTAGCTGAGAGGACGCCGCCTCACCGGACCCCGCTTCTCCCCGCCCCGGGGAGCCGGGACCGGCCGGGGCCTGGGCCTGAGCCGGGGCAGGGGTCGGGCCGCCCTCCCTCAGCGCCCACCGGCGGGCCTGGCCCCGCGGGTCCCGCCCCCCGCGCGCCATTGGTCCACCCGCAGCGCCCCCGGCTCCTGATTGGATGCGCCGCCCGTCCGTCCGACCGCCGGCGCCCGCCTGAGGGGAGCCGGCGGCGGCCCGTACCTGTGCGAGCTGGGGGTCCCGACCGCCGCCGCGACGAGCCCGGCCCCGGATCGGTGCGTGTGAGCCTCGCCGGGCGGGACGGGGCTGGGCAGCCCCCGGGCGGCGGGGAGAGGCGGCGGAGAAGCCAGGGAGGCCCCTCCGGCGCGCAGGGAGGCCGCCGCCGCCACCCCGTCTCCTGGTTTGGCAGGTGTGACGTGTGCTGTTGTTGCTGGAAGTGACGTCACGCGGAGGGAGGCGCGGGAAGCGGAAGTGGCCGTTGGGCTGTGGCGGCGGCGGCAGATTTGGTCTGAGCCCGGGAGCGGCTGAGGGGGCGGCAGGGAGGCCGGGTCCCGCGGCGGAGGGCGCGGGTGAGCGGAACGGGCTCCCTCAGGGCCCGGCGTCGGTGTCCCCCCCACCTCAGGGCCCGGCGGTCTGTCCCTGTCCCCCTCAGGGCCCAGGAGTTTGTCCACCCCCTCAGGGCCCGGCGGTCTGTCCACGTCCCTCTCCCCCCCTCAGGGCCCGGCGGTCTGTCCCCGTCCCCCTCAGGGCCGTCGAGCCCCAGGGCCGAGCCGGGGAGACCCCCTGTCCGGCTGGTCTAGGGGTACCGAGATACTTGAGGATTTGCATACTTTTTTTGGTATTTTACTGTTTGGCTTTTGGTGGGGTTTTGGCTTTTTTTTGGGGGGGGGGGGCGTTCATTAGTTCTTTGAGTACATTGTGTGATTTTTAGAGTTGTTCTTTAAACCGCTTGCAGCTCTGGGTTATCATCTCCTAAACCTTTGTTGTACCTGATGTTATTCTGGGTAGTTGATGTTCTGTAACTGCTCTGACATGAATTCATACAGACCCGTGGCACTTCTTAGTGTTCACCTTCCCAGCATGTTAAAGTATTTTCTACAAACTTAGCTCTGTTTTTGGTTTTTTTTTTTTGGTTTTTTTTTGGGGTTTTTTTTTTTGTTTTGTTTTTTTGTTTTGGTTTTTTTTAATTTGATTTTTATCATCTCTTGAGCTATCTCCTCTCAGTTTTAGATATTTGGAAGAACTTGTTTGGTGTGAGGGTGGTGAGAGCCTGGCCCAGGTTGCCCAGAGAAGCTGTGGCTGCCCCATCCCTGGAGGGGTTCAAGGCCAGGTTGGAGGGGGCTTGGAGCAACCTGGGCTGGTGGGAGGTGTCCCTGCCCAGGGCAGGGGGTGGCACTGGGGGGGCTTTAAGGTCCCTCCCAACCCAAACCATTCTGCGATTCAGCTTGTAATGATGGTAGCTGCTGGGTTTTGCATTTAGAGGTCAGGTATGGAAAGGATTGTTGATACTTTTTGGAAACAGCTAATACGATCAGATGAATTTCTATGAGAGTGTCTTCTATGAATATTTACGTTGCAGATTAGAGCTTCAGTTTTATGTCAGACTCTTTGGTACTTGAGGATTGGTTCAATTGGAAAAACCATAGGGTGGATCACTTTGTTAGGTAATGCAGGAAGAATAGCTGCCTCAGTTTCTAAATACTTGAGGTTAAATTGTCCCCAGCCTTTAACAATGAGTGTTGTGTACTTACATTTAGCATGGCTAATAGCTCAGAAGCTAATGCTTGAAGAGGAAGAACCTAATAATTAAATAGGAAGAAAATATTTTAACAAGGGCAGAACATGTGTGTACATACAATCATAGAATTGTCTAGGTTGGAAGGGACCTTTAAGATCATCTAGTCCAACCATCAACATAACTGATTAAAAAAACCCCAGTATCGCTAAACCATGACACAAGAAGAAAAAAAAAACAACAAAAGAAAGAAAAAAAAACCCAAAAAGAAGCCAAAACCAAAACAAACCTAGACATTGTGAGTGTAAGCTTTAACTGTAAATCTATTTTTATTGTGTATTGTCAATAAGTACCTTTTGAAGAGACTCATTGCTTTAATGATTAGGACCAAATAACAAAGCTGCGAACTGGAGTATCCATCGGAGCTGATTTCTGACAAGGCTAGACATAATCTCTTTGGAGATTGTGTTTGGTTTCTTTTTGTCTGAATCTGGTGTGTCAGCAAGAGAAATCATATAAAACTCTGTGTCTTGAGACAGTCTCTTAATATATATAGGCTGTCAGGCAATGCCTCTTCACTGCTTGGCTGGGTAGGCTTCAAAGTATTTGTTTTCTGTCGAGAAAAGAAATTCAGTGAAGACAGCGGCAGGCAATTATCTCCCAGGTTCTAGCAGAAAAAATCAACAATAAGTTTCTGTTTTAAGACTTTAGAGCTGAAATCATTACTCTTACTGTGGCTTTTGGGGGAAGTACTGTAGAGGATTGAGCCAATCACAACCAAATCTCAAGGATGAGAGGAAGGAGAACTTTTTTTTTGTGGGAAGTGTCAACTTTCTACGCTTTTTTCTCTTCCTTGTTTCTTCTCTAACCAGTTCAAAAACCACTGAGTTTGGCTGTTTGCTAATGGACTTCCTCAAATTCTCTCAGTGTTTTCAGTCATGACTTAAGAGCTGGTCTGTCATCCAGTCTTTAAAGGTCTTGAGTTGGAGAAAAACTGACATTGGTTGCTTATAAACAAACGTATGCAAGATACAGTAAATAGTGCTCTTAGTCTGTCTCTAAATATAAAGTATTTTGAAGCAGTGGAGTCAGAGATGAGGTTCTTTAAGATTATTGTTAATAATGGTATTTGAAGGTACTGCTTCAGGTCTGTCTTTGGACTGTCTGCCAGACAGGGGGAGTTGCCAGTATTTTTTGGATCTCTTGCAGCAATTTATTTTTTAATTTTATTTTCTTCTCTGCAATTTCCTCTCCCTCCATTTAAGAATTTACTGACCAGTTCTCATTTATCCTTCTGATAGATCTGAAAACTGATTTGGATGATGGTGATTTCATGCTTTGGTGTTTTGGTTTTTTTTTTTGTGGTTTTTTTTTTTTGTTTTTTTTTTTTTTTGGTTTTGTTTTGTTTTGTTTTGTTTTATTTTTTCCCCACCCTTCTCCTTTTTTTTTTCCTTTTTTTCTTTCTTCACTTTCCTTGCAGGATATTTCTGCAGGGAGAAAGGCACCTTTTGCACTGTCCTTAAATGAGTCTTTTTCTTCTGTGGGGACTCTCAAATTGCGTGTTACAATGTGGAAGTTAAATAAAAACCTTTTGGTTATTGTGCCAGTAAATTCACACCTATTTTGAAATACCCACAGTCTGTTACCACCTGAACAATTTTAAGTGTATTTAATGCACAGCTAAATAGAGGTATATTCTGTGATGAGTTGCTAGTCCTGCCTTCTGGTATTTATATATCCAAACATGGCTCTTGGGGCCAGGTGAAGAAAAGAATAAAAAGCAGCAAAAAAACCTGAAAAATGCGAAAGGTTTTCATTGCTTGTGGAGCTTCCTTTGAAACGGTGCATAAACTTGTTTTCACTCAGTTTTAGTGGATTTAGCCAATCCTAAATTCTTAATATGCTTTCAAATATCTTTTAAATATAAAGATCTTTGATAGTTGATTGGATTGAGGGTTACTAATTGATCTCATTTAGAATGAATGAAAATAATGACTGATATTAATTGCTATCAAGCCCTAGCTCTGTGCTATATTGTAACACTTTAGAAATAGCAGTGTCTAGAACAGAAGAGTGAAAACTTTTGAATTTCAGTGGTAATTCTACTGCATTTTGTAACTTTTGTGTGCCTTTTTTTTTTTTAAGCAGGAGAATATACTATATTACATTTATTTCATAATCTGAAAGAAGAATAGCATTTGGAATAATGGCAACAGGAGACCTAAAAGGAAGTATAAGAAAAATAGAACAAGGACTTCGCCTGTTAAATTATCCAAGAGATGTGGATTACACAGTGTAAGTGGCAGTGTGAATAAATTTATGCTGATACATATGACAGCCAGAAGAGTAAACAAGATCTGTATAAATATTAGCGCTGCAGCCAGTGATAAGTAAGCAGAACATGTGTCTGGGGGAAGCTGGGGTTTGATGTGTATCAACTGGAAGATAAAAGGATGCAGTTTTGCTGTGCTGAGCGGTCCTTAGAATATTCCTGAGCTGTCTCATTATCTTGCTTTGCTTTCTTCTTTTTGTGGTGTTATTTTTTCTCTCCTTTTTTTTTTTTTTTTTTTTTTGGATTAATCTCTCACTTTTATAATTTCTTTGTAAGTGCTACCAAAATTTTCTTCAGGACATTTCATCCTGTAAAGATTAAGGAAAAAAAAAAGAGGTTGAATCTTGAGATGGAAATGCTGGTGGGCTTTAGACCAGACAATGTTGGAATTATATGAGCTTATTATATGAGTTGTTTTGAGCATTTTACAGATAACAGTAAAGGCTGCTGAATGAGAAATGCCTGGAAAAAACCTTAAAATGAAGGAGACACTTGTATATAACATCCTGTGATATTAAAACACCTTTCAAGTGAAATGTTTAAATTAATGTAATGAAAAGCTTTTGTTATCTTCCGCTTTTGTTTCTTACTAGGTTAGTAAAGGGTGACCCAGCTGCATTTTTACCCATCATCAGCTATTGTTTTACATCCTTTTCCACTCACATAGCAGAGCTTTTGGTGAAGTGCGACGTGGAACTCACAGCAAAGAGTGACTTGCGTTTTGTTGAAGCTATTTATAAGGTACCTCTCTTCATGGGCTTTGCAGAGAGACACAGTTTTGGCTGTGGCCTCATAAGCATGAAACATCTACTACGAGTATTACTAGAAAAGGAAGATTTTTGGCAATGAATGTGAATTGTAATTCTGTTAAGATTTAAAATGAGTAGTAAGTCACTGTGTGGTAAATCTTTATTTATAATTTTATGAAAATCAGGATGGATATTGTTAGCCAAATATTTTGAGACACTTGCAGGAACAGTAGCATTATTGTTTTATGATAGTTTTGAATTAAACCAAAGTATTTATTACACTTTTACAGAAGTGACCTCAGAAGAAATCATAGCTAGCAAAAAATCCCAACGAACTTCAATAATTGTAATGAAAGCACAATTAAAAAATACAGCTATTTTAAAACACTATACCATATGAATATATACAGTCCAATATTTAACAGTTTATTCATTGGAACCAAATGAAAATAATTTTGAACCATCCTCAAAACTATCCATAAGTGCATTTTTATAAAAGGTGACTTGCTGCATTAATTAGTCCTGGCTTATTGAGGCTGGTTTTCTGTCTGAGGCCGATAGAGACTCCTTCACAAAGAGGCTCTGTGGGAGCCTCACTGAAGCTTCTGACGCACTCGCTGAGATCAACACAGCTTCTTCTTGTGCCTTCACTTCAGAAACTTTTTGTTTAACTCCTTAAATATTAATGTCTGCAGTAATTTATTTTATGCATCTTAAGACGCCGAGTTAAACTTTAGAAGAGTGATGGGAATGAAATGTTTCTGGAGGAGTTATGTTGAAAGTCTAGTCAGAGGAAACAGCTGAGAATATATAAATAACCAAATGAGAAAAGGTTTAGCTGCTCAAGAGCAGAATGAAAGAAAAGATTGTAGAAAATTAAGAGCCTGAGCAGGCTGTTTCTACCACAAATTGCGTGGTGATTTTGGAAGTGAAGTAATCTCTTCTCTTGTTGCAGCTGCTTCGAGATCAATTTCAATATAAACCAGTTTTAACAAAACAGCAGTTCCTTCAGTTTGGCTTTGCAGAAAGAAAAATGCAGATTGTTTGCGACATCATCAACTGTGTGGTGAAAAAGCATAAGGAATTAAGTAACTCGAATAAGGTACTGAATAAATAGTAACTTTCCTGTGAGATAAGCTGCTTTTGACATGCCTGGTGCTGCAGGGGGAAGCTGAAAACCAGTTTATTTGAAGGTGCAGCATTGCTGATGGTCAAAGCAGGGGAAATGAGTCTGAAGTTCCATTGCAAGGTGCCTGAGTGCTATCAGGAATACAAAAGACATGCAACTGTCAATGCTTCATAGTGTAAACAAAAAAATATTTGAATTAAGATTAATCTAGTACTTGATAACTTTACAGTAAGTGATATATTTTCCTTTGCACTTCTCAACACAGGGAATATTTGCCTAACTCAGTAGACATTTCAGATAGATTTAAAACCAAAGCAAATACCATCTGATGTGCTGAAGTTCTGGTAACATTTAATTTAAACATGATGCTTATTTGTCTTTCAGTGATACACATCTCATATAGGATTATTTTCATTACCTGTGTTTGCCTTGTGTTGTTAAGGCATTATTTTTCACCAGTGTATGCTGTGTATCAGTGGATGCTTTAATAAAAGGAATTTTCAGTCTTCATATTTGACAGGATTTTGTTTGAGTTTATAACAGTCTTCAGGACTTATGTATATTTCATTTTTTACATTTAGGGGCATAACTACATTTTTTTCATATTTGTCTTTAAACTCTAGTGCAAGTTGCCTTTTCTCTTTACAACCAGCTTTGATGCAGCCTTGCTTAAGTGTTAATGAGGGTATGAATATGTCATTCACTTCCAGATCTGTTTTCTCTGTAAATTTGGGTCATGCTTAAAGGGTTTTAGACATTATTATGCTGCAGAGGTCTGAATGTGTGTGTGTGTGCCACGCAATATTCTTGCCTGTTATTGATGGCAGAAAATGGGATGTGTCATCCCATTCCCATTTACCCCCCTGAAAATATTCCTGTGTTAGAAGCATAATGTACAATATTTTCTCCTCTTCACTTTGAAGGTTAAATCCCAAACAAGGAAAAAACTCAGATGTTTTAAATGTGAAGTATGGTCAAATTGTGAGGATGTGCTTGCTGTTCCTAGCAGCAGCGCTCTGAATTCCAAACAGGTAGGAAACAAGTTTTTATGTTGTACATCTAAAGGTTAATCTTGTTTGTACCACAAAACTTTTAAGACTAGGACTGCCCATTAAATGTCTGTGATTTCTATTTAGAAGGAAAATACTGCTCTTAGCAGCAAGGAAAACTTCACAAAGAAAATATGTGGAATGACTTCTCTGGCACTTTTGGTTGTTGAATGGTAGAACTGGAGGGGAGTAGATGGGAGTGTATTAAGAATTCCCTGGATGAGGAGAGTTTCAGCTTTACTAAAACATCGAGGAAGCTGTAATTGTGGGTTCTTAATCATTAGGTAATTTGTTTTGTTTTGTGACAGGACACAAAGAGAGGCAAAATTTGTCTCTCTCGTTATTCTCTCCGAGGGAAGCATTCAAAGGAAATGAAATGTGTAGCGAATAGGGCTATTTTGCTGTCAAGAAAAAGAGAGAGTTCTAATCTTCCTAGTTAAACTTCTTATTTTCTGAGTGTTTGAGTGGTGGTTTTGATGTTGGAACTATCTATACTTATAAACCTCACCGTGTGTGTTAATATACCTCCCATTCCACACTTACAACTAACACACCTTACAATACGAGAGAACATTAATGCCTTTATTACCCTTTATGGAAGGAAACCAGGGTACACAGTACATATAGTAAAATCTGTCCAGATTTGTTTTACAGTTTCATGTCTATATGATTTTTTTTTTTTAAGTTGAACTGCCTGCTCTTGCTTTCTGTGTTTTGCAGCTGGTTGGGATAAGATTGTCAACTTTAAAAAAAATAAATACTAAACTAATAGGTTTTTTCTGTCAGTTACTTGGCTGATGAATTGAAATGTTCTTGTAATGAATGACACCAGTGAATTTTTTAATTTTTTTTTTCTTTTTTTTTTTTCCCAACATCCTCAAAAGAAGCCTCAGGTGGAGCGGCACACAGGAAATGAAGTTAGTGTTGACCTGCATCCACTCCCCCTTCCAGCACAGGGAGGTGATAAAGAGGAATCGTTCCTGGATCATGATGTTGTGGAAGTTCAAGGCAAACAAGTAAGAACTTTTATTTTAAGATGCCATCTGCATGTATTCTTAACTTTTTCTACAGGGCTCTTCTAAAGGGATGAAGGTTTTTAAAAGACAGCTGGATGCTCCTTAGGTATAACTGACAGATATATAATAAATGTATTTTAAAAGTCAGTTATATTTTACTGCACTTTCAAGAGCCAGTTCTGTCAACAGTTTCTTTTAAAAGGCAAGTTGCACAAATGTTCCTATTATGGCAATTCTGAAAGAAAAATAATTTTCTAATAGAACAGAATGTGTTTAATGAATTGGAGGAAGATTCCACTTAATTTCATTGATCAAATGATGAATTATATCGGTTTTGAAATCAGCAGTCGTGTGTTCTTATCTGCATTTCCAGGTCATAGAAGATAATTCTGAGGTGGAGTTCCTCAAGAGCCAGCTTGCTGATTGCCAGGAGAAGCTTCAGAAGCTGGACTGGGTGGAAGACAAACTGCATAGTTTGGAAGAGAAACTGAAAGGGAAGGTGATCATCGATGAGAAGGACTGGAATAACTTGTTGAGTCGAGTTTTGCTTCTCGAAACACAACTGTTGTTGCAATCCAAAAAGGTATGTTAATGTCTGTTGGTTTTTTTTTCTATAACAAAAATTGCTTAGACACAGGGTTTTTTTCAGCCTCTTTCTGCTCATCCTGCCTCCTGATGAGTACTTTTTTCCTGTTTTTAAAGTTGTGATCGGAATGGAAGTGCTGTTTAAGTAGTTGTTGGTATTTTTTTTTTCTTAATTGTTGTTAAGTGCAGTTTTTTTTCTCATGCTCTCTGAGGCAAAACTCTCTGTTGGAAATTCTTTCCTTGCAGGAACAGCAGGTTTAGCTAAGCCTATTTTTTTTTTTTTTTAACTGTGTGTGTTTTTATTTCCTAGTGAAATTGTAGGAGGAAGCTTTTGAAGACGCTTAATTATGCTGCCTTTGAAAGCCTGATGTTTCTGTAGTTGAGAGTTTCATCAAGCTATTGACACATTTCAGGGTTTCCTTATTCTGGTTTGCATTATTTTGAATTTCTTATACTGGCCTGCAAATGTTGTTGCTGTTGATACAATTACATTTTTTAATTCTCCAGACTCTAATCAGATACAGATACTGCCTCTGGAAGATTAAATCTTCATTCTATATAACTAGCATTGACAAAAATAGTCAGTATGCTCAATGGAAAATACAGGGTTAATAGAAAAATGAATTTTTATTTTAGTCTTAGTCTTAGTTTGTGGCTCGTTGAAATTTCTAGCCTAATCAATGATCTTTCTCTTTTTTGCACTCCCCCTTCCCTCTTTCCTGTTTCTTGTCCATTATAGTAATTGCATTTTTAAATCTGTGAAAGTGCTGTTGTTGTGATGTGGCTACGTTTGGTGTGTTTGTCAGAACAGATCAAGTATTTTGTTGCATTAAGACTGTGTTATTTCTCATGCTGTTGAAAGGTCCTTGAATGCACATTGTATAATTTCATATACGTACACATGTCAGGATTTTGAGATGCAGTGAACCCTAGCATCAACTTTGTGATCACATGCTTAATTTCAAAGGTATTTGCATATGTATCTCATGTGTATCCTTCAGATGCTTTCCAGAAGTGGACAACCTTTGTAGAATATAGTTGATGAGCGTTGTGTTTTCCTCTGTAGTTGTAAAAATGTTGAATTTATTTGTAACCGGGAGCTCTGTGTATGTTGTTGACCCTGCAAATTTGAAAATGTTGTATACAAGTATTACCAAGACACTTTTTTTTTTTTTCTCCTTTGTGCCCTGAAAGTGTGGTAGGTGTATAAAATCTCAAAATAAAGAAGTGTTCAGACTGAGCACTGGGTAATTTCTAAAGGCCAGAGCTCTAGTGATAAGGATTGACATTCTCAAGCTTGGATTGCAGACTAAGCTTGTTCTTTTCCTTCCCTAAATTTGGTTTATTATTACTTAAGTAACATGTTTATTGCAGTTCTTCAAAGGTTTGGAATAGTATTTGGAAAATACTTAATGGAAATTTTTGAGTGATATTAATGTTAATTATATTTCTGTACTGCATGTTACTGAAAGGAGTCATCTGCAGAAAGAAGTTTAAATGTAGTTTGTGTGTGGCATTGTTGCTTGTCCTTTTTCAAAGCAAAATAAGCTGGTTTTCATAGTAAAAAGTCTTCAAAACCCTAACTTTTTTTGCAATAGGCGTTTGAAAACTGCCAAGAACTAATCCTTTGGGCCAGAGGATTGCTGCCTCTTTGTTCCGTGACATTCCATCCCGGCCGTGCTGCACAGATATAGCAGCAGCTCAGAATTGTGCCTTTCTTCTTCCTCTTGCCTTTTCCAGGGAAGCCTTGGCTTCCAGCCAGCGGAGCAGGAACAGTCCAAGGTCTGGCTTGCCCCGCTGCCAAAGCAGCAGCAGCTGTGCATTTAGCTCTGGGAACCTCTCAAAGCTACCAAATCCATTGCAGTCAAAGGAACTGAGCAGAAGCAGTCAGTACAGACAGCTATTTTTTTAATATATATATATATATTTTTTAAGAGATATCCATTATTACAGTTTTTTCCAGCTTCTTCCCACACAATACCTATTATTTATCCTTCATTCAAATACTTGGCTATAAAATTCCCTAAAGTGATATACTTTACCAAAGGCTGAGATTTGAAATCATAACAATAACTTAAATGAAAAAATCCAGGCTTTTTTCATAATTTGAAATTAGAAAACTGCACTCAAAACACAGTTATTGTTAATACAGCTTTAATTTTGTTTTCCTTGTTTGTGAACAACTTTTTCTAAAGTGGATTGAGTTCGACTGAAAACCTTAAAATAGCCCTCTCATTTAGGAGCCTGGGAAAGTAGCTTAAAGTAGCCCTTTGAGTTCTAAGCATTTAAGTGGAATGAATTTCTACAGGCTGAAATTTTAGGCTGGAGGAGCTGCATTTCTCAATATCAGCCAGAAGTAGAAGGTGCACTGATTTTGTGAAGGTCACTGTCAAGATGTAACTGTTAGCACAGGCTGTGTGTTCATTCTGCTCACACCCAGGTTAGATGGACATTTGGACCCAGATTTGACCTGTTTGTGACAGCAATATTGATACTAAAAAGGCCCCCATAAAATAAACTTAATTTTTTAATGCAATGGCTGTTTGGAAGTTTTGGATTAAAAAAAATCCAAAATTAGTCCTGTAAAGAAATTTGTGCAGTGCCAACATACCCGGCTGGGCTAGCAAATGCGTACATAATTAATACTTAAATATATTTTTTTTTAATCAAAAGATGATTTAAAGAGGGTATATGGCTAAAATGCAGTCAACTTGTATTTCAGAGAGACTTCCCTACAGACTTCACAAATATAAGCCAAGAATGTACTTCTAGTAGGATTCCAGTTTCTCCTGGTGAGTATTAATGCTTTTCTTCTTAATTAACATCCTATGCTAAATGCTTCTTGCTGACCTTGACGGAATAAAGTAGTGTTTTTAAGTACACAATTGCAATTTAGCAACCTCTGAATTTAAATGCATGCTGCAAGTTAGAAATTAAACTGCTGGCCATTTCATGTTTGTATTTTATTCTTTAGAAGCTTTATTTACTGAAATAAATAATCTTTAAAGCATTCATGAAAATATACAGCAATAGTAATTAATAGTTACAAATAACTCTACTAAAAATCTCAAAGATGCAAATTTAATTAAAGTGCTATAGCTAAAGCTCTGAAAAACAGTAATGTTATCTGCTCTCCAGCGCAGTTTCATTATCATAATGTTTTAAAAATACAATTAAGGTGCTATAGCTAAAGCTCTGAAAAAACAGTAATGTTATCTGCTCTCCAGTGCAGTTTCATTATCATAATGTTTTAAAAATAAGCTATTTGTAAGCACAGAAGGAATTATGTCTGCTGCCACGTGTTTGTTATAATCAAATAGCATCACATTTATGGTGTTGATTTTTACTTTTATAACGGGGCTTAGGACAAACCAGGGCTCTTTCACTCATAATTCGTGTTGTTTTTCAAATCAGTGCTGGAGACTCTCTATAGTCCCATCCCTTTGGAAGCAGTTTGCAGCTCTCCAACGAGCATTTCTGCTAAACTTTCTGATTTTAAAGAGCGAGACAACTTTTTTTTCTTCCATTTCCAACTTAAATTTGATAAGGTTCATTTGTTTCATTTATTTCTTGTAATTTAAGTGGGAAAGAAATTAAAAACATTACCCTGACCATAAGTAATTCTTCTTTCTTCCTCAATGGTAGCTCTTTAGCCCTTAACATTCCCTTTATTAATGATTTAATTCCTTATTCTCGTTATTAATTAGGCCAGTTTCCCCTATGGCAGCTGTTATTCCTCCCACCAGCAGTAAGGAGAATATTCTATTTCCCGTTCTCACTTAGCAGACATTTTTGCCCACTGTTGGGCTGTTGCACTGAAATTAAAAGGGGCTCTTGGTAACCCGGTTTCCATGGAAATTAGGAAGGCAGTTTCCTGGTTATGTCAAAGTTTGTTTTAATTTTCTAGTCTCAGAAATGGGACCTTCTTTTTACAGACCTTAAAGTTTGCGACGTGTTTAACTGCCTTTTGTAGGGTTAGTGTATGTTACTGACACTTCAGGGCTTTGTAGTCAGCTGGCAGGCTGATGGGCTTTGAGAGAGAATTTCCATATTTTCAGACTTCTAGAATTCTTCTGAATTTGTTATTCCTGTTTTTAGTAAAATATGATTCAGGCAATTTTAGGCATAGGAGTTGTGGCAGGCGGTCTGAACTCTTGTATCTGAGACGTACTGTGTTTGGATGCTTTGATTCTCCTTGGTTGTAGTGCTCTTCAGGAATCACAGCTGTATAGAAGAAAATTTAATTGATTTAAAATAATTTAATATGATTATAAATGCAGAATAAGGTAGCTAAACATGTTCCAAAGATATGAGCCATAGATGATGGCCTTACTAAGCATGAGAGTGTGGGAACATTTTTTTCTCTCTAAATACTAAATTCCCTTCCCTGCCAATAGAATTCTAAAATTGCAAATATTATCAAAGTCTTTCCCAATGTAGAAGAAAAGTGTGTTTCTGCTGAGTGGACACTAAACCTATCCCGGAGGGGGGAGAGCTAGGGAAACAGCAAGAGCTTGATACAAATTTTAAGCTAAGCAAGAAGGTGATGATTTTGTTTATATTTCTAACGCTTATAAGACAGCACTTAGCACAAACTAATGACGTGTTTGAACAGGTAGTTTACAATAAAAACCAGGCAAACTTTTTGAAATTACTCTAAAATGTTTGACCCAGTAATTAGACTTTCTTAAATGTTGATTTTGCTGCAATCAGGGTAAAGGCAGCATTCCTAGGGATCTTGAAACCCGTTTTGGACCCTTCCCAGTAGCTTTTCTTTACCCCCCCCCTCTAAACAATGCACTCTCTTCTGTCAGTCCATCCTGTAAATCAAGCTCTCCGAAAGCTGACCTTGCAATAGGAGAGCAAAAAGGCAAAGGTGACACAAATCCCGAGTCTTTCCCCCCAGACAGAGAGAGGAGGGAGGAGAAGCCCGAGAGGCTCCAGCAGCCGCCTGGATGCAGCTCGCCCTTACCCACAGACCCATCTCCTGGAGCCACCACCCTCCATTCTCCTGACCTGACAGACCTTCCAAAGGTGAGTGAAACTGGAAAATCCTTAGCTGGTTCCTTTCTGAGGTCAAGAGAAAAAGTAAGCATTCGTTTTAGTCGTATAAACTATGTGAACAACAAGGAAACTGTGCAAAGCTACAGCGGGGTCTGTCTCGCCCAAATCCTTCGGATATGTAAACACTGCTTAAAAGTCACATCTTTCCCTATGGATTTTTTCAGGTGGGAAGTCCATCTGAAGAATGTTCGCTTTGAAGAGTTCTCTGACTTTGTTGCTTTTAAATTGCAGGAGACAACAAGGCAAAGAATGGAAAGGATAAGGAAAATGTAAGTAATGGGAAAGGGCAGGAGGAATTCCTTTCCCGGGAGGGAGCTGTGCTGGACTGAGGCACAGAGAGATCCTACATCTGTGTTCCAAACCTCAAAGGTCTCTGCCTCAGGTGTGGCATTTCCTTATGACCCCCATGGATAATAAATCCACCTACAGCCCTGTGTTTGTGGGATGAGTCACTGTTTTGGTTTCTAAAAAGCAATAGAAAGCCTTCTTAATAGTATTAACTGGAGATTAAAGAGTGTTTAGAATCTGCTTGACAAGGAATAGGAATATTATTTATCTTCTGGTAGGAATTCCCTGCACCTTCTCTTCCTGAAAAATAACTACAAGGTCTTAACTCTGTTTTTTATTATTTAAGGAAAAGTAAAAGCAATTTCAGCCCAAGCATTGCGATAACTGTGTTAATGTATATTTGATACTAGTCCTGAGATGTGTAATGACATTATCTTTAGTAAGAAAATTTTTTTTTTTACACTTGAGGAGAAAAATATTGCTGTATAATATTTCTTTAGCAGGAGATTTCTTTTCTCTAAGTGCCTGGCCTGGGGAAAAAAAAAAAAGCTGTAGCCATTTTTTGTGATTTAATGTTATTGTATGGGTTACTTCTTTCTTTATGTAAACTTAAAATTTATGGAGCTGTGGTAGGCATTTAAATTCCAACCAATTGCAGAGGAGGGATGAAGAAACTTAAGGTTTGTGTTGCTTGTTAGTATTTCGGGTTCATTAGAAAGTTAAAGGTGAGTTATTTTTTACCGTATTTTGGTAAGTGTGTGTGTAAACAAAATTTATTTTCAGAATTGAAGAAACCTCAGAATTGTTGAAAACATCAAGCAACACCTCTGAGAAGACCTGAAAGGCCCAGTCTTCAGACCTCCTCTCTGGAGACTTTACGGATATCAAAACTAATATGTGTGTTTGTACAGCATTAATTTTTTAATATATAGAATTTGTAATCATGGCCAGTTCTTTTATTCCTTTGAATAAATATTTTCTAATGCGGCTGTGTATTAATTCTGTTCCCTCAGCCTCAATTTTTGGTTTGAAAGCTGTTGGACTAGCTTTCCCCCCTGCTCTGTGAAGTCCTTGCAGGGGTGTATTTCTGCGTTGACATTTGTTAGCGGGGTGCTAAGTAATATGGTTCTTCAAGTGCAGGGTTTGCATCCTGTTGGAAACATTCCAGCTGGGATGTGTGTGTTACCCCCACGAGGCTTTTCCTACCTTCCCTCTTACCATCTGTAATGCAGAATAAGTCTTAATGAAGACTTAAATACTCAATTTCATATATATATCTTTTTTGTTGTTTGTTTTTTTTTTAAATGTAAATATTGATGCTGAGAGCACCAGTGCGTTATGGCTTCCATTTAACATGGACAAAAGTGAGGGTGGGTTTGATCCCAAATGCTAAAATGTGGGAATAAGTTCGGAGCCTTTGGCTGTGGAAGGTGTGATGAGTGTTTTAGTGCTCTGCCCAGCAGCACAGATGGAACCCAGCCAGTACACAAAGATACCCAACATCTTTAGATTCAAAAGCCATATTAAAAATCTCTCTTTAGAGGCATAAATAGATGTAAGACTTCCATAAACATATTATCAAACCTCATACATCTTTGGTTTGATCAGATTTATTTATTTATAATCTCCATGTTCTTTGTGCTACAACACTCACTTTGCTTAAAATGACTTTTTTGGGGGGTTTAATTTCACCAAACCAGTGGGTTCTTTTGGCAGAGTTTGCAAATGGAGGCGAAAGCAGCTGTTTGACATTATGCTGTAAAAAGTGATTTATAGGTTTTAACAGTAATTATGATTTTTTTTTTCTATAACCAGATGGGATATAAATTGACTTTATTTTACATACAAACAGAAGAACGTGCAGTGATCCATTATGCTATATAAACTTCAGTTGAAGGGTTTGCAATTTTTGCAATAAAACTTACTTTTCCAGTTGTTTTAAAAAAAAAAACAAATTGCAAAGTAAGATGATGGGAACACTTTTTACTCTTTAATTGAAAATAGACTTTGCAAATCACTGTTTGTTATCCCCAAAATGAAATAAACAGCTTTTCTTCTAAGTGTTTGATCAATTCACCAGGAAAAAAAAGTGTTATTTTCTGAAATAGGGCTACAGCACCATCTTGTGGAAATCTATATAAAGTAATTACCAGAGGAAAAAAGTATATTCCTATGCAGTTAAAGTTACTGCTTTAAATCAGTAAGGATCAAATATCTCGAAATATTAATTTTATTTAATTTTTTCTCTTTGCCGTGGAATTGAAGAGGCTTTTATGTGAAGCAGGATAAATTATTCTGTGTGATATTTGATGATGTTGGTGGCAGGAGCTGGAGCAATGAGCCTGTTTGTGGATGTTACAGCAGAGATGGGACGTGGTGGTTGGTATCAGTGGGTCAAGTTACAGAGATTTATCACTGAATGTGTTTGAGGAAGAAAGTGTTAGAAAAAGCTCTTTCCAGTGGCCTGGAAAAAGTCCTGTTGTTCTCGGATTGTGAATCATTAACTGAGCTACTGCTGCCTCTTAAAGCTAGTCAATTTAATTATTCATTTTAAAATATATATTATTAATTTTATAGTTAAGAATTGTTTTGACAACTCCATTTCCTTCAACATCAATAGAATAATTGAACCTGGAATTTATTTAACTGGAACAATAATAACTGCAAGTATTTATGCAGTGCATGGGATAATGAAACATAATTCCATTAAAGCAGAATGCTAAAACTGAAGCTTCCACAAAAATACACTTTTTAACTTGGTATTTTTAGCAAGATTCTAAATTTCCATTAAGGAAATTTAACTTTCAGGATTTCCATTAAGATTCAACCTTTTCACTGGCCCAGGTTGCCCAGAGAAGCTGTGGCTGCCCCATCCCTGGAGGGGTTCAAGGGCAGGTTGGAGGGGGCTTGGAGCAACCTGGGCTGGTGGGAGGTGTCCCTGCCCAGGGCAGGGGGTGGAACGAGATGATCTTTAAAGATGCCTGTCAACCCAAACCATTCTATGATTCTATGATTTTTTTATTTTTATTTTTTGACTGTCTTATCTAAGGCGAGTATGTACTTTAATTTATTTACTGAAACGAAAACGTGATCTAGAAAAAATAAGAATTCTGCAGATCACCCAGGTCTGCTTGTACCCGAGTCCCAGACAGGCTCGGATCAGGGTTTATGCCCAACTTGGGACTGTTTTGCATCATCAGAAGGATGCTCAAAGCCCTTATTACTAAGTGTGTCCTGTTTCTTACGCTTATTTTTGGAGATCTTTTCTTGTTTCTGTCTGGGTTTGCTCTCGTGTCCCCCGTCGGGCTCAGTTCAGTCTCCAGCCCCACAGCAAACGTGGTGCAGGACAGACCTCAACTCACAATGTTTGAAGTTTTACTTTCTTTTAAATTTGCATGTTACAGAATATTTGTTGCCTTGAAATCGGTTCCATTAAGGAAAAAAACTCTTGTAGAATTAATTAACAGAATAATTAGCAGAACAGAAATCTAGGTTCAGCGTGGAGGGAGGTTACTTGCTTTTCCTTCCCCCTCTTGTGGAATTAATTAACAGAATAATTAGTAGAACAGAAATCTAGGTTCAGTGTGGAGGGAGGTTACTTGCTTTTCCTTCCCCGTCAGTCTCGCAGTGATTAGTAAGAGCCACCTTGTTTGAATTCTAATGTAAAAATACCAGAAAATAAGAGCAACGAAATTAATGCGGTGTATTTATTACAGAGTTTTGAAGAAGTATTCCAATGTGAAAAAATACTGCATATATATTAAATTTTTTATTCTTTTTATTTTTTTTTAGCTTAAGCTGCTGGTAGCAGGTAGGCATTGTGACTTCAGTTTAGCTGAGCCTGATGAGAGCAGCTTCTCTCCCCGTGGAGGATCAAATAGGTGATAGTTTTTTGGTTTTTTTTTCTTTTTTCAAATGAGCTATTCTTTTTTAATTCCTTCACCAAGAGTATGTGTTGAGTTGTGGGGAGAGCTGTCTGGCGCCCAGATGGCTTCACAGCAAACTTTGTGTTGTGATCCAGCCACCCCACAACCCTATTGCTCATACAAGCCCCCAGTTTTTCTAGTGGCTATTTTGTTCCTTTTTTCCCCTTTCTTTCCTTGCTCATTGGCTTTTTTGTCTGATCTATTCTGTCTATTTTTATTTTATTATAGTAACAAAAAGCTAAAAAGATATGGGCACACTGAAGTTTGAGAAGTGCATTCTTGTCTTGTAAAGGTTAGTTTTTCTGGAGAGAGAGAAAAGAAAGATGATCAAAATGCATCAGAAGCTACTGATATTTGTGGAATTTACTGACTTTTTACTAGAGATGCTTAAATTTCTTCACTAATCATCAGTGAACGGGGGGCTAAACCAGCTTTTTCTATCAGCTGCTTGTTTTGACACTGGGAGTTAGCCATCATTTCAAACAGTTGTGGCTGTAATTTTAATCTGGAATATATTATTTATTTGGCATTGCTGTTACCTTTCTGAACACTTTGTGCTACCTGTAGTTCCTTTTCAGTTTCTTTCTGGGATATTTTTTTAACTCTACGTGGTGAAAATCTAAGTAGTTCACTTATAAACCTCAGACAGCAAAATATGCTTTATTTGGGAGAGGTATTAGATCTGCAAAAATTGCTTAATGATAGTGTGTTGCTCAGAAATCTGCCCAGATACCACAGAAGCAATAGAGGTCTCTGTTGTGGTTTTTGTAGGATAATTAGGAAGATGCAATCAATACAAGGGTTCTGGTTAAAACAGTCGTGGCTTGAGTGTTCCAGATGGGGAAAAGAAGTGGTACTCAATCTGATATTCCTGCACTCAAGCATCCTATGGTGTATTTCAGGAGCTGTAGTACACTTAGGACCTTTTTTATTCAATGTGACCTTATTTAAGAGAGCAAGATGTTGTATCTATGGTTACAGACCTCATCCTCGTTAGAGTCTGTTCAGAGCAGGTGCTTGGTTTGGAAATAGTGAGGCGTTTTGCTATTTGTGAAATAAACTGCTCCAGGTTAACAGCAATGTCTGTTGGTGTTCCCTTCCCCTTTACCTTTCCAGTTAGTGTAAAAGAAATTTCATATGCCACACAGCACAATAGCAAAATTATATTTCTGCTGATTCTAGAGTTAACGTTAGGTTCATAACCATTCATTTTTTAGCATAAGAGACATCAATGAATATTATGCCTCAGGGTATTTTAATTAGAAATATAATTATTTCTAATGATTCATTTTTAGCATGAGACATCAATGAATATTATGCCTCAGGGTATTTTAATTAGAAATAGAATTATTTCTAAATGTATTTCTTAATATATATTTCTAAAACATCCTGCAAGGTCTTCCTAAACTTTCCCACTTGTACGTCTGTTCCCATCCTGCCCTTCACTGAGCACATGTTGAAATATGAACCAGGATTTGGAGAGCTGCTGTTAAAGCTCCTCCAGTACTATTTTAATTAGAAATATAATTATTTCTAAATGCATTTCTTAATATATATTTCTAAAACATCCTGCAAGGTCTTCATAAACTTTCCCACTTGTACGTCTGTTCCCCTCCTGCCTTCACTGAGCACATGTTGAAATATGAACCAGGATTTGGAGAGCTGCTGTTAAAGCTCCTCCAGTACTTTCCGTGACTGCAGAGAAGAGTTTCCCTAAAGCTGGAGTTTTTGGCAGATGAAGGGATTTCCTCCTGCTGCTGCACCTTCCCCTCTGACTGTGCTGTGAACTGCATTTCATAGCTGATGAGACAAGTATACTTCTCTGAAAATACATCCTGAGGGGTGCTGGGGGTTTTTATTGTGAGTTTTGTTTCTTTTTTTCTCTCTTTTCCATTTGCATCATCTCTGTGATGCAGCTCAGGACGCTGCATTGGTGTGTGGGGGCTCAGCTGGAGCAGCAGCCTCTGCTCTCACTGGGCAGCAGGAGAGGGAATGGCTTGAGTTGCAGTGGTCCTGGTGAAGGATTTGCTCTCTGGGCTCCTGCTGAGCAAGGAGGGAAGA